TCAAAGAATTCCAAAGAAATGAAATCATGCAAAATGTTATCTAATGACATTGCAATTAAGAAAAAGAAAATGATACTTTCTATGTTTAGAAACAAAGAAATATATTTATCAACCCACGTATAAAGAAATAGCAATGGAAATTATAAAATATTCAAAACTGAAAAAATATGAATATTCTACATACCCGAACTATGATTAAAGGGAAATGTCTACCCTTAAATGCATATATCAGTATGGAAGGATGATGTAGGCTTTCACCTCAAAACTCAGAAAAAGAACAGCAAAATACACCAAAAGAAAGTAAAAGGAAATAGTAACAAGATCAGAAATTAATCATAACCAAAAACATACAAAAGAGCAATGGTTCATAAAATGTGGTTCTCAAGACTCTTTTAAGGGGTCCAAAAGCTCAAAAATATTTCCATAACAATACTAAGATGATGTTTGCCCTTTATGCTTTGTTAATTTTATAATGGTGGTGCAAAAGCAAAAAAGTAGATATCTGCTGGAACCTTAGCATGAGTCAAGGCACCAAACTCTACTATAAATTATATTATTGACTGCCACAGACTAGTAGTTAAAAAAAAGTCATTTCACTTAAGAATGTTTGTTGAAGCACTAAAATTAATTGTTGATTAAGTGCTCCATGTAAGTTAAATATTGTTTTACAAAATGAAAAAATTATAAGCATATGTTGCATATCAAAGTAAGATAAAAAGCACACTGTGATTGAGTTGCTCGCTGAGCTAGGCACTGTTTTCATGGAATGCCCTTTTTACTTAAAAGAACAGTTGCTAGATAAACTATATTTACCCAGGTTTAGATATTTGGCAGACATTTTCTTAAAAATGAACACAGCGTGGAAAACAACTAACAGCATTTGATCATTTGTCAATGATCAAATTCAACTTTTCAAGGAAGAATTGAGAACTTGGAAAACTTACATCTACTGCCTTAAGTTCCACAGTATCCCAAAACTTAAAAGACTTTACTGATGAGACTGGTGGTGATTTCAACAAATGTGGTTTTGGGTATCATATAATGAAATATGTCAATATTTGGCAGATGTGCATAACTCAGTAAACTTATATTTTCTGAATGACCAAAACTTGATGTTACAAAAGTATGCATGAGTAAAAGACTCATCTGAAATGCAAGACAGACCAATGAACTTTAATGTACCAGAGTAAGAAACATGTAATATGGTTTCAGATTTCCTACTGAAACTCACCTTTAAAAAAACACACTTGTTGAGATCCGCTGAACTATCAAGATTATCAAAAACAACCTGAAAAGGCTATTAAAACATTCTTCCCTTTCCCAACTTCATAGCTATGTGACTGGATTTTACTCTACTTCAACTAAAATATATTATGCTGGATTGAATTCAGAAGTAGATATGAGAATACAGCTGTTTCCTATTAAGTAACACATTTAAAGGAAATTTGCAAAATTATTGTGATTTATATCCCACTAAATTTGTTCTAAAAGTTATATTTTTCCTTTAAAGAATGTTATTTATATTAACATGCAATGGGTTTATTATTGTTCATTTTAAATGAATAAATATCTTAAAATTTTTCTCAATTTTTAAATTAAAACATTTAATTTAAAAACTAAGAAATTTACAAATAAATCAAATACATAGCCCATATAAAGCTATTTGGAGTCCTCAATAATTGTTAAGTGTAATGGGATTCTAAGAACAAAACTTTGAGAAATGCTGCAACTGAGAAAAAACAAAACCAAAAACTGATTCTTTGAAGATTTTTAAAAAATATGACAAACACGCAGAAAGAGTGAACAAAAAAAAAATTTTCAAAGAGAAGCACAAACTATGTTAAAAAGAGAAAAGTATATCACCACAAATCCGGAAGACATTAGAAAAATAAGATTTCATGAACTTTATGCCAATAAATTTGAAAATTTAGATAAAATGCTAAAAAGCAAAATTTACCAAAATAGACAACTCATAAAACACAGAAATATATAAACTGTCACATAACTACTAAAGAAATTAAGTAAAAGCGTTCTCACAAAGGAAAATCCAGATCCAGATTGGCTTTTCGAAAGAATTATATCAATCATTTAAGAAAGAGCAGCTCTATTATGCAAATTCTTCCAGATAAAAAGTAGCAAAATTTCCAGCTCATTTTATGAAGCTAGCATAACCTCAAAATAAAAACCAGACACAGGCATTATAAGAAAGAAAAATTAAAGGTTAATTACTCATGAACAGAATAAAAATCTTAATCAAAATTTTAACAAACTGGTAAGTTTTTTTAAAAGATCATGACAAAAAAAATTTTAAAAAGGACCATGACCAAATAGGTCATGAAAAAGTAGGTTAATCATAAGAATGCAAGATTGATTGAGCATTAAAAAGTAAACTAATATAATTCACCACATTAACAGATTAAAAAAGAAAAATATGATCATGTCATTAGATGCCATAAAAGTATTTAATAAAATTTAACATCCATTCAAGATATAAACTCTTACTTAACACAAAAGAAACACAAGGGAACTTCCTTAATCTGATAAAAGATTACCTACAAAAAAACTACAGCAAACATCATACTTAATGGTCAAATAGTGAAAGCTTTCCCTTTGTGATCAGGAACAAGATAAGGATGTCCTCTATCACCACTTCTATTCAGGAATGTACTGGAGGTCCTAGCCAGAGAAGTAAGGCAAGAGAAAGAAATAAAAAGTGTAAGGATTGGCAAGAAAGAAACAAAACCTATTATCCACAAATGATATGTTCGTGAACACAGAAAACTGAAAGTATCTACAGAAAAAATTGTCAGAAATAAGAGTTGTGAAATAAGACTGTGAAATGCAAAATCAATTACATTTCCATATAAACAGCAATCACAGTTAGAAAACTTAAAAAAAAACAAAGACTTCATTTAAAATTTCCTCAAAAAGTATGAAGTACCTAGCAGTAAGTCCAATGAAAGATGCGCAAATCCTCTGCAGAGAAAATAAAATTTCACTGATGGATATTAAAGGACTAAATAAATTGAAATATAGGCAATGAACATAATTTGGAAGACCCAATATTATAAAATGTCGATTCTCCCCAAATTGATAGAGTCAGGTAATCTCAATGAAAATTGCAGTAAGATTATGTTGGACATGTTGAAATTTAAGTGTATATGGAAAAGCAAAGCACCAATAGCCAAGATATTCTGAAAAAAAAAAAAAAAAGGAATAAAGTTCTCTAATTTGCGTCAAGATTATTTTATGACAACTGTGACAAGGCAGTGGAATTGATAAAAACAGACCAATGGAACAGAATAGAGAGATAAGACACAGACTCACACATATATGGACACCTGATATAGGATGTAAATGGCATGACAAAGTAAACATATTTTTGTTTTGTTTTTCCTATAGATAAAGTTGGGACAGAGAACTATCTATATGGAAATAAATGAAAGTGAACCTATGCCTCATGCTATTCACAAAAATAAATTCTACCTAGATGGTAACCAAGTTCATGGCAATAATCACATAAAGAATTATTTCAAATTAAAAACAAAATTTATTGATTATATATCCTTAGTGGGATATATCTTGAGGACAAGCATCTTATTAGTAGTAAACTTGGTATTGTTATATTGAAATTACTTTTTATACACAGTAGTATAGCAAATAAACAACTATAATAATGTCATTAAAGTACCAAGATTTTTAGAGTAAGACAGAAGAGATACTAATACATAAAATCAAAGCTATGTGAAAAACCTTTCCTGAAGGAAATATCACTAATCCAATATTTTATTGCTTTTTCTAAAAAATGCGTTTACTATTTCTGTCCACTGAAAATACCTAAGAAACAATGAAAACCCAGTAATAATGAATGCCCCAAACATCCAAATTATGGTCTCTAAATATCAGTTCTCACTGAAAAAGGACTGCTTGGAAAAATAGCTGGGGCAGAATCATTCTGAGGCAGAAAATATAATCGACCTGATATCTCCCCCAAATCCTGAAAGCAAGAAGCTATACAAGAATACTAGAATCATATCAGAAGGACACAGGAGCCAAATGAAGAGGCTCCCACTGACCAAAGATGAGATAATTCGTGTAGCAAAGAATAACCTCAATGGATTTAAACACATCAAAAATATAAAAATCTGTAAGTTTAGATTTTCCATTACTAAAAATGGAACAACCAAACATGTTCCTCCTGATGTGATTCAATAGGCAATACATAGCAACACCAATTAAATACTTTTATAAAACTAAATCTAACTCTAATCAAGTCTCTCCATCTAATTATCAGTTTAGAGGAAGTAAGAGATGAGATGGATAATCATGTTAAAGGACCATGAGGATACAACTAGCCAAACCCAGAATGTGAGAAATTCTGCAAAATATATGACCAAGTTTTTTCAACAAATAAATGGAGACTAGAAAAGATAAACTGATAAAGATTTAAAAAGAATCAAGATACATATCAACCAATGCAACATGTGGACTCTGTTTGGCAAACATTCACTAAAACATTGGGGTTTTTTTAGATAATCAGTGAAAATTAGAAACAGCCAAGGTATTATAAGACATTAAGAAATTTTGGTTAAATTTGTTCCATGGGATAATGGTCTTTATCTGATAAAGATATATATTGAAGTATTTTTTGTTAAACTTATAAAATGTCTAGGATTTGTTTTGAACTACTATAGATTTATTCATAAATTATTTGTGTAATTACAGATTAAAATAAATAAATAGGTAGATTGAATGGGTATGTGGGTGAATGGATGAATGGATATAATTTCCTCAAGAAAGGAAAAAAATTCTAGATGAACTAATTCAAATTAAATATGAAAGCAAAACATTTAGATCATATAAGTGAACGAATACCTTCATGTTCTCAGAGGCGGTCAGGTTTTACTAAACAAATCTCAAAAATCACTAAACAAAAATGTATTACACCATATATAACTCTATAAAGATTGTCTACTTCACACTATTTTAAAAGTACTTACTGCTGGTAAAAGAGACTGCATATTTTGATTAGAGTCTGCTATTGTAGCAAGATAGACCAAGTTTGTATGCAACATCTGCTGATACCTATTAAAAAAAAACAAATAACATTAAAAAATAATTTTCTTCCTGTTTAAATATGAATAGTATTCTAATCATTTCTCAAGTTTAATAAGATTTGTTACCTGAACATCAACAGCACTTCGTTTTTTCCTAATTCTTCTGCAAAATAATTCCAAATAATACATTCAAAGATAAACTCCGAGGTATGACCATGTGCTAGATATTGTTATAGTTAGGTTTATATACTTATATATTTCCTTTAATCCTCAAACCAATACTATTAGGTAAAACTTCTTGTTTTCTCCATTTTACAGATGAGGAAGCGGGTTTAGATAGGTTAGTAACTTGTACAGGATTACACAGCTTCATAAATGGAGTAACCGAGATATGTGCTGGTTCCCATATAGTACATATGCTTTTTAAAAAGAAGTCTAGAATGAAGGAATTCAATGCAACCGATATGCTTATTACCTCCTCTCTGCCATTTTCATATTGCCAAAAACCTCAAACCCACGAACAGTCAACTTGCTCTGCTAAAATGTCAGAAAGGAGGTGGGAATCATTTTTTTCCTTCAAACTCCTACAGTAGTGACCAACAATTTAAGCCTACTGTGGTTATACCTCGTCTATTAGGACTCAGCATATAGAGAGACGACAAATAGGTGTCTCCAATTACAACAAGAACAATAAACTATACATGTAAGTATGTCTATATATATACATGTATGTGTATGCATATATGCACACACACATATATACGTATACACATGCTAACACACAGAGATTCAGGAAATAATAGGATACCAACACCATGAAGGATTAACTTTAAAAAATAAAGCAGATTCTCATTATTGCAGTGAAGTGGTTAAACATGTTTATAGTGATCTTGCTTATGAATTAGTTTTGCTAAACCTCTCTTCATAATTTTAAAAATTAGCTAAGACAATACCAGATTAAAATTAGTAGTGGTCAAATTACTAGTGTATGTAAACCCTCAACACTTAAATCTTGCATCAAACTGTTAGGCTATTTTAGAATTTCATTTACTAAGAAATATTAAATATAAATTAATAAAAATAAATCAAAAGAACTTTATTCAGCTAAATAAAGTCATCTAATATACATCCCAGATGAAGTAATTTTCTAAAACAAACACCATAAAAGGAACCTTAGTAAATTCTTTGCTGCATTATGTTTTTCCTATTAGAAAAAGCTGGTTTTACTACTCTTTTTTTTTTTAAGGCACGGCAACCCTTGGTTGACCTCGTAGATTGCAAGGACCTTGTCAGCTTACAATCTCTTATTTTTTATTTTTTACACCTACAGCACCTGGTCTTCCTAGGTGGTCTCCCATCCAAGTACTAACTGGGCCAGACTCTGTTTAGCTTCTGAGATCAGACAGGATTGGGCTTGTTATCTTTTCTTATCAGATAGAAACCTTAAAGTTTCCTCACTAATAAGCTTATGTTCTTTTGATTATGTTTTCCAGATTTTTTCAGGTATAACTGATATACAAAGAACCATACATATTTACTGTGTACAATTTAATGAGTTTGGACATATATAAACACCCATGATAGCATTAGCACAAAGTAATAGACATCCAGCACTTTCCAGTTTCCGTTTTCTTTTGTTTTTTTTTTTAAAAAGTCTATGATCTTAATGCTCCTCCTCACATATCTACTATGTTGTTACTCAATCAGACTTGACATATTGTTTGTTACAGTGATCCTTTTATAAACAAGGACTAAGAATTATTATATTGTACTGAATTATACATAATGGTGTTGAAATTCTTCAAATAGCACTAACAGGCACCAGTAGCTAAAACTATTTCATTATTTCTATACAGCAGCAGTCCCCAACCTTTTTGGCACCAGGGACCAACGCTCCTATGAGAATCTAATGCCTGATGATCTGAGGTGGAGCTGAGGCGGTGATGCTAGCAGCCCTGGGGAGTGGCTGCAGATACAGATGCAGCTTTGCTAGTTTGCCTGTCACTCACCTCACCTCCTGCTGTGCGGCCAGGTTCCTAACAGGCCATGGACCAGTACCAATCCACAGCCCAAGGATTCCTGCTATAGAGGTAGTGGAGAGAATTTAAGATACAGGGTTCTACGATCTTGCTGTTTTTTAAAACCAATCAGCCATTTTAACAAAAACATATAACCCATTTCAAAGTCTTCTAAGTTTTCCTTCTCTTCTTAGTATTAGTATGGTCGTACTATTCTATACTCAGATATAACATTTGCCGACCACCCTATCAAAAATAAAAATACCAAACCTAATTAAGACACTATGGCTTACTCATGACCCTTTAAGAAAAATTTTTAGTTATGCCAATTAATATTTAATAAGCCAATGTTAAAATATTATTAAATCTAATCTGCCCCACTCTTAAGGCCTAATTTGTAAAATAATGGGAGTCAGAGTGATGTCAAAGCCCTTTGCAGTTCTAAACATCTACAAATACAGCACTTTTTTGAGTACTTTAATTTTAAGCCATCTCCCCAAACATCTTAACTTTTTAAGTTTGAAACAATTTCAAACTTAGTTTCAAGAATATAAAAAAACACCCAAATCATTCTCCCACACTCCCCAATCATTAGCATTTTACCACATTTGTCTTATTCCATCATAAACACATATACTAACATACACATCCATGCAAGCACACACTTTTCTCCAAAATCATCTGAGTCGGTTACAGACATAATACCCCATTACTACTAATACTTCAATGTCAATATCCCCAAATACCACCTGTACAACCATCAAAATGAAAAAATTAATATTGATATAGTATTACCACCTAGACCACAGAACCCATTCAAATTTCTCCAATTGTTCCAATAACCTCAAATCTCTTTACCTAATGTAAGGTAGTCAGTAAAAATAATCATTTTTAACTAGTGTTTTCTAACGTCAGTGGTTTTTATTTTGTGTAAAACGAAGTTATTTTTATAGCACAAGCTTATTCAAGGCTCAAAGATGAATATTAATGAAAATACTATATACCCATATTTTTATAAGTTTGTGTATATTGTATATGTCACCTAAAAGTAAATAAGCAAATATTCTAGAAAAATCTGGCTTTAGCTGAGATTACTGAATTGATAATGAAAAGTAGATTCTTCTACAAATATTAAAGAAACATCTTCCTGAGAAACCTGTTTATTGTATAAATAGTATTACATTTGTCAGTGAAAGTTAACTTTACTAATGTATTGATTTCTCAAATAGTCTACATTAATAAAATAAAATCAAGTCTATAAGCTAAGAGCAGATATAAAACAAATTCAACATTTTATGTTTGATGATTCCAAAACATCCATCATTATTAACCTATTAAATGAGAGGTAGTTCACTTCCCAAAGATTCCATTAAGAGCCACTATATCAACTACATTGAGTAATGTAAAATAACCACTATTAAATTTATTGATATAAATTAAAAAATGAATCCAGTCAGATTTCATTTAAAAAAAACTTTACCTAAAAGCTATAATGATTGTATTTATAAGACAAGAATACAATTTATAGAATAAAAGCTATCTCTTAACTAGGGATTTAAAACTATACTGCTTTATATTATGATGAATACAAACTTTTTGCTTGAGAACTGTTGAAAGCACACTCTGAAACAGTTGCATTCAACTTCAAATACAAAAAATAAAGGCTGATTTAAGCAAACATATAGATTTAGAAAATGCTCAAACCAAGAACCACAAAAGAGCATACATTTCCACATACATGTTACAATTTAAAGGGAAGTACATGTGAACTCCACAACTGATTCACTGACTTATATGAGTGTAATATATGAGGGTGTACATGCAGATAAGAACATAGAAAACAATATATACAAAGATGTCACCAGTGAAAAATGTTTGGATGGCGAGATTACAGTGTTCATTATCTCATTTTTACATGTCTGTTTTCAAATTTTCTATATTCATATTCTGCTTCATAAAAAGAAACTAATTTTCAATTAAAAAAAGTTTCAGGCAAAGTGATCTCATCTTAAGGAATTAATTAAAATTGAACTATTAATTCTCAGATGGCTGTCATTTACTGACATTTCTCTTTATTTTCCTTTTACTTCTATGACATGAAAGAAAAACATTTATTAAGGCTGAGAGGAAAAATTGTCTCTTCAGTCACAAACCAATCCTGACAACTTGAGAAAAGAAAGAATAACTAAAGAACTCTAAGAATGAAGTGAAATCTATTAGAAAGCGCAGAATTTAAGATTCTATCTGAATCAATTTAAGCCTCATTTGTACCAAATATGTGAGAGAATGAAATCTATTTTAATATGCAGAAAATGGGGGAAATGATCATACATAGAAAAAAGTCTGAGAATATAAAGAATAAAACAGTATAAACTTCCGTTGACTCAAGTTGGAAAAGTTGCTTGTAGATCTGTGTATTTCCTACCTGTGCCAGGTACTGCTGGGTCCCTAATGAGCCAGTCCTATGCCACAAAACCACCTGGTTCTATCTAGGGGTTTAAAAGCTACAGGTGAAAATAATTTTAATCAGAACCTCTAAACTTTTACCATCATATAGGTGACTTGAGATAGTGATCTCTTTACTACTGATGAGTCTCCTTGGTCAAACTAACGAAGTTTTTTACAGTTAATTTAAACACTTAATTTTTTAAAAGAATATTTTCAAATATAAAGACTAAGATTCATCGAAGAAACAATATACATAAAAAAATGAAAATGGTCATATAAAATGAAAAATGTGCTATATGAAAATAAAATATCCTAGCACTCAGATCTGAGTTTCTAAATATCATTCTCCAAAAAACAAAAAGAACAAACGAACCAGGGCTTGAAGAAACAGAAGATTCCAAAATGAGGCAGGAAAAAGTGTAAGCCTAGAACGTTTTGTGGTGCAAGAAAATAAGAAAAGTCTCAAAAAATAATGGAGACATTACCAAAAAGCCAGCTTGAGGGGCTCCCAGTGGCCAACATCAGAAACAATTTGAGAAAGAAAATAACAGAGTAACAAATTATAACCTAGAGAATATAAAAAGATCCCCTAAGTCCATTCAGATATAAATAAATGAATGAATAAATGGGGGCAAAGAATAGAAAATTTCTTTCCTATAGTAGGACTGCAAATAAATGTAGAAGGAATGGTAGATTTAGTTACCACTTGGCAACCACAACTGAAACAGCAATAACTGTTTCAGTCAAGAACCATTTGGTGGATGCTAAAATCATATGTGAAGGTATAAGGAACAGCAAATGTGTATCTCGAGGCATCTCTCCAATAAAATACATAAGAATTATAAAGAAAAAAATAGTAACTTTACAGTAGAGAAACTGGCACGCACCATGTTAACTAAGTGACTGAAGTTATCAAATACTGGACAAATAGTGGGACAAATCATACAGCTACTTGATGATGCACTGAGAAAGACACAACATCACATCTGCAATACTTCTGCCAAAAGTGCATAATGGAAATCTAATTGAGGGGAAACACTAGTCAAGTACAAAATGAGAGACATGCCACAAAATAACCGCTCTGTACTCTTCAACAATGTCAACATCATGAAAGATAACAGAAAAAATGAAGATCAGTTCGAGATTAAAGTATACTCAACACACGACAACTAAATGCAATACCTGATATACTTGAGAACAGAGCAGTGAGATTAAAAGCAATTAAAAGACAGATGTGCCCCAAAATGATGGTGAGAATAAAATATTCTAAAACAGTGCTGTCCAAACAGTAACCACTAGACACAGTGAAATATGACTAGTCCAAAATGATGTTATTATTAGAATAAGAGGCACGATGGATTTCAAAGACTTAGTATGAAACAAAAGAATGTAAACTATCTCATTAATATTTTATATTGATTACATATTAAAGTGATATTACTTTGGAAATAAGTTAAAATATATTATTAAAATTAATTTCTTCTGTTTCTTTTTATTTGTTTAATGTATCTACTAGCAAATGTAAAACTATGTATGTGGCTCACAATATATTTCTACAGAACGATGCTGTCCTAGACTTTTGATACAATATTCAACTTGTTCCACTCCATCAGATTCCACTAAGGGATCCTGTTTTCTTCAGACATATCATTTCAAATTAATAATTCTCTATTAGATATGAGCTTTGTTTTCTCAATGACATATATGGATGTAACTAAATTTCCTACGTATGTGAAGATCTAACTTTTCCGCAAATCAGACTATACAGAATTCAAAGTCATTATTTTATAATGCAGGATAGGAAGTATAAGGAAAAATTAATACACACTCCATCCCAGAGAATAAATTTTTCTTTTCTAAAAATCAAGAAGTCATACAATAAAGTGCACGCTAATGTACATAGTAGCATTATTCCTAATAGCAAAGAAGTGAAAACAACCCAAATGTCCATCACTGATGGATAAAGTGTGGCGTAGCTACAGAATGGAAGATTATTAGCAGTAAAAACAAAGTACTGATACATGCTTCAACATAGATAAATCTTGAAAATATGCAAAGTAAAAGAAGTCAGTCAAAAAAGACCACATTTTCTTTTGGGGATAATGAAAATGTTCTGAAATTGAAGTGATGGTAGTACAACTCTATGAATATCCCAAAATCCTTGAATTATACACTTTAAAATGGGTGAATTGTATAGTAGTGAATTATATCTAAATAAAGCTGTTATTAAAAAGTAAAAAGTTAACCGATACAAAAAATAAAAATAAATTAATATCAATCTTACTGAGAACACTCTGTGGTTTTTCCTTTATTCTGATAGTCCATTATACACTGAATAAGATGGTTATTTTCATCCAACATCTGAAATAAAATTAGAAAAGTTTATTATAAACCTAGTGTAACAAGTAAAATTTTTAAAAATCCTGCAGATTTCTAGAAACGTTTATACAGAAACTGAATCCACCATCTTTTAAATCTTATTTTACACCTCTGGAATAATGTCATGTTTAATTAATTATTTTTAATAACTATTCCAATTATTCTCCGAGTTATTACCTATAGTCCTGAAGGAAAAATTTGGAGTTTCTTTTGTATTCAAACACTTGATTATCCCTGCTATATGTAATAGAAGCTTTAGTCTGTTAAGACCAAAAGTTGAGTCTAAGTTGGCTGTGTATCATTCTAATGCTAATAGTAAAGAAAAATTGTCCTTATCCAGAATGAAGTAAATACATGAAAAACTTCAGCTCAGGAGGCTTGAGGAAACAGCTGGCTAGTTTTCAAGTTTTATACAGTATGGTTTTGTGATTCTTCAAGTACTGAATGTCAAATACAATAACTTCTATGTATGTATAATATTTATTGCAGACTTTATGAGTTTACCTTATAATTAACTTATTCCAAAAGTTTAAAAACAAAAACATCCATTTATCACATATCATCTGATAACAATTTAAAGCAATTCACCTAGGAAAAGTGGCATTGAGGAAAGAGTACTGATGTAGCAATTAAAAGGCCAGTTACTTTTAGTGCCAGCTTTGCTACCCTATGCAAACCACTTTAAGATTTCAGGGGCTCAGATTTATCTGTAAGATCAAGCCGCAGAAGTAGTTGTTCCTCCTGGTCCTGCCCCACCCTTCCAGGATTTAATGAAAGCATGAAGCAGAATACCATAATCATCCTATCTTAGTAATTTAGTTAGGTACCTTTATGTAAACATCAAGACAATAATAAAAGCCAGTTTTTGGACAGACAGTGTGAGTGGTGAACAAGCCTTAGTTTCTGAGTGCAACAGTTTTTCTAATTTGATGTGATTGCATATGAATCATAATCTTCACTTGCTGAAAAAAAGATTAACATGCACTTCCAGAAAGAGCAGTTATTTTTTAACTACTGGATGCCCAAAAATTTGTCCTTAAAATGCATTAGTCCGATGTAACGATTTCACAACAACACATCTTCTCAGTAGATTCCTCAGCCTAACAAACTTCATCGTTAGAATATCTGTCTCATATCTAAAATCAATCCCTCCCACTGTAGAATGAGGCACTTAATTTGGAATCCATTTTCCCTTCTCATCTGAGGATGAAAGCTAATTGTTCAGCATCTCCTGAATTAATCACCCATGAGAAATATCTTAAGAGGCATGAAAAACCCTATAGAAAAAAAAAAACTCAGGATTTTTCTACAGCCAAAAAATAAAAAGTGAATCCCACACCCACTCCTCCACCTCCACCACAAATATGTTTTGCGGGTGTGTAGCTGGAGCAGTTTGTCAGGCTGCAGACTTAGCCCTATGCACTATATGAAAACACTGCATACTCAGGCACTGCCAGGCCGGTTTGTTCATAAAATAAGGCAAGTTAAGCAAGCAAATGTCAAATGCCACACTACAAAGAAACTGACAGTAAACAGAAGCTGGTTAACGTAATCTATTGGGCATTCAATAGTGCCCATGAGTAGTACTTAGAGTTGACTTCAATTTTCATCCCTGCTCCAGTGCATAAAACAAAACCGAAATATTTAAGGTAAACTGCGAAATTTAGCAAGTAACTTTTGAAGTCTGAGTAAAATTCAGAATGCTGCATTCCTCGTAGGGAGCAAGGTGTGGAGGACAATAAAGAAGCTTTGTACTAACTGGTAGTAACAGCAAGGAGAGACATCATTGCCCTCTAAAAGGGACGCACTTTCCGTGTATTTATCACGACTTCTGCAATTAGTCACAATTATCAGACTGTCTCCACCACTAGACTGTAAGCTCCACAAAGGCAGGGACCATAGCTCACCATTGTAGCCTCAGTCTGGACGCAGAGCTCAATGAATAATTACTGCAGAAGTAAATGGATATGGGGTGAATCCGGGATGGAGAAGGGGACTCCAAGGGTAACCCCAAAATCCACAGGACTCTCGCTCTCTTGCCCTTCTGATTCTACTAAGGCCCCCTGCAGCGTTCCCCAAGTTCTCCTGCGAGCTCCTCAACTCTGCCGGAGTTTGCAGCGCAGCGGAAGGCGGCGAACCTGAGATCGGGTCTGCACCAAGCAGCCACAGCGCGCTGGGCGGGGCGACACCAAAGTAACTCCGGAGCGACGCGCGGGGCCGCGGAGGGCGCCGGCTCCGACAAACAGCCCTTCCTCGCGCTGTCGCCACCACCGGGCGCACGCGCCCCGCCGCCCCATCCCTAGAGAAATCCAGCGGCGGTTACTTGAGCTTTTGTGCCTAAAGGAAAAAGCCCCAACGCGCGAAGGACTTGATGAGGGAACTAGTTCGCCGTCTTCCGCCACTCAGGCACAGCCACTCAGGCACAGCTCGGGTCCCCACACACCACCGCCTCCCAGCAGGCCCGCCTCCGCCCCTGGCCCGACCGACTCTCGGCCCGGCCCCAAGGGTCTCTCCCGAAGGCGAAATGGGCCTGGCATCCCTGTCTCCGCGAGGTTTCACCTTCTGAATCGCGGCGGGAGTGATCTCCCCCTTGCCTCGCTGCCTCGGGGCCGCGAACGCCACAGACATGTTGCCGCCGTCACCACTATCAGCAAGTCCGGAGCGCTCCGGGTGAACAGCAAACTGGGGGAAAGACGCCGGCCTCTCGGGCTGAACCACCTCGGGAAAGCAGGGAGGGGGGATGCTCCAAGGCCGAACAAACAGCGGACCAGCCTGGCCTAAAGAAGGAACTCTGGCCCGTACTCGTCCTCTTTTGGCATATTATTTGAAAATCAGAGCCCCCGTGGAATTCCCTGTTCTAGGTCGACCTCTCGTCCCTCAGCCTCTCCTTTCTTGGCCCTACCCCCGTCCCTTTGTGCTAATGGTAAGGCCGCGCCCAGTCCTCCCTCCGCTTCAGCGATTCAGGAAATGGTCCCGCCGCCGCGGGAGAGGGAGAGGCTGGGGCAGCCCCTGTCACAGGAAATGCGAGCGGCCCGAGCCGGCCCGCCCCTTTCACGCGGGTGCAACTTGTCTCCCCCCCGGCGCGCTAAGCGTCCCTTCAACTGCGTTTTGGAGCTCTGCTCTTGACCTAGGTCAGTTTTTCCAACTTTATCCTCACCTCTTCTGAGAACTAGCCGCCCTGTGTCGTCCGCGCACACTAGAGAGGGGAGGAGGAAGGTCGGGACCTGGGAATCCGTGCAAAGCCCTAGAGCATCTACCGAGATGAGGCAGAGGTGGAAGGACTAGGTGAGCGTGGATTCGCTGGTTTAAATGGCTCGGCTACGCCCCAAATGCGCACTTCTGAGTCCATAGTTTCGCACGCACACCCAGTCGTCCCTAACAATTGGAAAGTGAGCCTAACCCAAAATCGGGAAACGAAGTCTGTGTTCAGTACTCAGGGGCAGTTGGCCAACTTGGCTAGAGAGCCAGATAAGAGGAGTTCGCCTCTTGGGACAAATCCGTAGTAGAAATGTGTGGTCAATTTCGTCTGACTTGGATCTTTGCAATTAAGTTTTGAAATAGGGCACCCACACTCTTTGCTTTTCCAGTTACATACTTAGAGCCTTGTAAATTAGGCCCAAGCTGCCAGGCTCGAAATCAGTGTGAGGAAAAAAAAGAATCAAAGCTCTCAAATTATGTAAAGAACATGGCATGGGCAAACGTGGGTAATGTGTCGATGCTGTGTTTTAAAAATTATCTTGTAAATTTAGATTTTCATATAATAAAGGAAAAATGTATATAAAATGTCACCCAACATTAATAGGCTCAAAATCAATCCCTCAGTTTATTTATAAATAAACTGGAAAAAAATTTAAAAATGCATATTGTAAAATTTTTTGTTTCAAATAAATGTTCTTCATGAAAAGGTCATTAGTTTCATTCATTCCGCACATCAGGATGCATTCTATGTTCTAGGCTTCATGCTAGGCACCTATATACAACTCTGAACAAGCTGGACATTGGACATGCTCTCAAGGAACATATTCTGATAGGGCTGACAGATTAGAACCAAGTAAACAAATATATATATAAAGTTCTAAAAAAGACTAGGAAACAAGGGACTGAGTGACAGGGGCACTCAAATGAGTTAGGATGGGAAGTTTTTTGTTATATTTAAATAGAGACCTAATGAAAAAAATCAAGCCATACTAAGAATAAAAGGAAGAGAATTTATACTCCTAATAGTAGTTATTCTTATGAATTATTGTCTTTCACTAAGCCTTGAAAGAGAACTCTAGTATAATTAGATTTAATGTAATCACATCAAATTGGAAAAACTATTGCACTCAGAAACTAAGTCTTGTCCACCACTCGCATTGTCTGTCCAACACCTGGCTTTTGTCATTGTCTTGATGTTTACGTAAAGGTACCTTAGTAGTTAAGAACGATATTTCAGTAGGAAAAATGAAAAACAGTCCTACTGCCCCAGTTCTATCTGCTTGGCAGACTGCAATGAACTCTTAAAGAGCAACATGAACCAGTAGGAACAGTTGCCTGAATTTCTATAGCCCAACAAAAAAATATTTTTTTAAATGCCAAGGGGCCTTCTATTCCAAGGAGGTACCCAGGAAGTACCTTTTTTGTTTAAATTACAGCTCCCTAAAATAGAAAAGGAAATCAACTAAAAATAGATAACAGGTCAGCCCAAGGTGTTTGTTTATTCCTTCAGAGTAGCAGAGTAGGGCCTAGGGTACTGATGGGCTCCAGGCATGGATAACCAGTCTTTTCTGTCATACCATGTTTGCCATAAAAATACCATTATTTTCTATGTGATCATCACATGAAATTGATTGGGAAGCACTAGAGTAAAGGTCCAGCCAAAAAGACAAATCATCTCCCTAAGAAAAGACACTTTAAAGGGACCCTACTTTACTCTCAAGCCTCCTTGGTAAATACAGCTTAACTAAGAACAGAGATCCAGGAATAATGGAGTCAAGCAATCTAATAGATGCAGAGTTCAAAATACTGCTTATAAAGATGCTCAATGAACTTAGGGGAACTGTAGATGAACTCAGCGAGAACTTTAACAAAGAGATTAAAAGCATAAAAATGGAAACGGAAATTATAAAAGGGAACCAGTCAGAAATGAAGGACACATTATTAGAGGAACTCAACAGAGTAGAAGATTGAACCATTGATATAAAGGATGGGGATGCCAAGGACACCCAATCAGAATGGCAAGAATAAAGAAGCCAAGACTATAATAACAATTTAAGAAGCCTATGGGACAAAATTAAATGTAAAAACATTCAGGTCATAGGGGTACCTGAAGGGGAACAAGAAGTTGTAGAGCTATTTGAAGAAATGATGATGGAATACTTCCCTAACCTGGTGAAGGAAATACAACCCCAGGAAGCTCAGAGAGTCCCGGGAAAGATGAACCCAAAGAGGCCCACATCAAGACACATCATAATAAAAATGCAAAAAGTTAAAGACAAAGAGAGAATCTTAAAAGCAGCAAGAGAAAAGCAGTTAGTTAACTATAAGGCAGTACCCATTAGACTGACAGCTGATTTCTCAAAAGAAACTATGCAGAACAGAAGAATTTGACACAAAATATTCAACATGATGAAAACTCAGGATTTATAACCAAGAATACTTTATCCTGCAAAGCTATTGTTTAGAGTTGGTGGACAGATATAGAGCTTCCTAGACAAAAAGGAGCTAAAGGAATTTATCACAACCAAGCCAGGAAATGTTGGAGGGATTTCTTTAAAAATAAAAATCATATATCAAAAAAAAAAAGGAATAAAGAATGGTAATAACTACATTCCTATCAACAAGTACCTAAAATGGAAAAGAATTAAGTGCTCCAACCAAAAGATAGGGTGGCTGAATAGATAAGAAAATAAGATCCCTAAATATGTTTCCTATGAGACACCCACTTCAGATTAAAAGACGCACAGAGGCTAAGAGGAAGGGGATGGGAAAAGATATTGCCTTGATGGACCTAGAGAGTATTGCACTGAATGAAGTTAGTCAGATAGAGAAAGACAACTATCGTATGATTTCACATACATGTGGAACCTAAGAACAAAACAACAACGATGACAAAAACAGAAACAAACTCAGATACAGAGAATATTTTGAGGACTACTAAATGAGAGTGAGTTTGCGGGGGACAGTGAAAAAGGGCAAAGAAATTAAAAAGTATAAATGGATAGTTACAAAATAGACGTGGAGATATAAAGTGTAGCATAAGGAAAATAGTTAATGTTGTAATATGTAGGGGGAAGAGGGATACTAGATTTAGTGGGGTGATCATTTTGTGAGATCTCTAATCATTATGCTGTACAACTGAAACTAATACTGTATGCCAACTGGAATTGAAAAAACTCATTGAATTGTACAATGTGAATATGAGAAACTGTCTATTATATTTCAATAAAGCTGCGGGGGAGGGGAAGCCACATTGAGAAACCACTCTATGCTCACTAAAACAGCTAAATTAAAAAGAGTAACATCATTAAGTTTTGATGGAGAGTTATAGTGGAACAACTGGGACATTCACACATTGCTAGCAGAAGTACAAAATAATACAACCACTCTAGAAAACAACTAACTTATTATAAAGTTAAACATATACTTATCATATGACCCAGCAGTTGTACTCTTGGTTATTATCCCTTTACCCAAAGAAATGAAGATATATAATCTACACAAAGACTTGTTCTTAAAGTTATGCTGCTTCATAAAACAAGAATGAAAGCAGTCCTTCTAGTTTTGTGATGACTTTATGTAAGATTGATGTTATTTCTTTCTTAAATGTTTCATAGGGTCACAAGTGATACTAACCCTGGGCCAAGTGTTTCTGCTTTGATAAAGAGATCGTATGTATGTATGTATGTATGTATGTACGTACGTACATATATATGTAATTTAATTATCTTCTACTTCCCTACTTCTCTCTTCAACTAGGTTTAATCTGTTAACAACAGATTTAATCCATTTACTTAGTTCTCAATCTCAATAAACAGTTTTCATTTCTACAATTTCCAGTGTTTTATTGATAGTTCTAGTCCCTGCTGAAAATCTTGATATTGTCTTTGATCCCTTGAATATATCTTGTTTTGAAAATCTGCAGTTGATAACTCCATTGTCTAAATTTTATATTAGTCTGTTTCCCAATGACTATTGTTTCCTTTGTTCTTTATTCACACCATTTATTTTGTGTGCATAGTTCATTTTAACTGAGCATAGGATATTGCACATGAAAAACTGCAACGATTACCTGAGGTTCTGCATGGTATTTTCTTCCTCTACAGGGGATTCGCTTTTGTTCTGGCAAGCAGCTAATCATCTAGACACACTAGCAATGCTTTATCCCAGTACCTCCAACTTTTTGGCCTTAGAAACACTTTAACCTCTTACAAATAATTGAAGACCTCAAAAAGTTTTTGCTTATGTGGGTTATATCTATCAATATTTACCACATTAGAAATTAAAACATTTTACTAATTAATGCTTTGAAAACATTAAATTCATTATATATTGATGCATTTCATATATATCTATTAAGAACCTACACTTTCCAAATTTTAAAATAATTACAAGAATGAGATTTAATGTCTGGCTTAATAGAATACAGCTAGATTCTCATATCTGCTGCTACATTCAAACTGTTGCAATGTGTTATTTTGTTTGAAACAGGAAAAAAACTCACAAAGGTATGTATTGGAA